CCCCCCCCCCCCCTAAAGGAGCCACCTCTACCTCCATACCGTCCTAATTCTCGCCTGCTCTTCCATTTTGTGCAGCACCCCTTCCACCACCGTCACCGCGCTAGAGAGGGCCTGCCCCTTCGCAATCAGCTGCAGCACCTCCAGCCCTTCGGGCTCAGCCGCCGCTGTTGCGCGAGAGGTAGACCTTTTGGTGCTGCCAGGCGTGGAGGGTGATGACATACTGCTCGCGATTGCGCCCTTCCGTTTTCTGCAGTTGCTGCTCTGTGCTGTTGCCGGACACCCGCTGCTCCCCTTTGTGACGGCCGCATCTGTGGCGGTAAGCCCTTCACTGGCAGCATCGTCACCAGCAACGGTGTCTTCGGTGTCCCCGTTGCCTAGGTCATGGGCCGCGCGCCTGGCCATGAGGCGCTGCTCTACGTGCTTCCTCTGCCACTGGAGGTGGATGAGGGTGGTCTGGAGGTTGGCGGCCTTCTCCCCGCAGAGCTCTGTAGCCTGTTCCAACCACAGAAAGCGAGTGTTTTCCAACCGCGAAAAAGAAAGTGTTCCCAAGCACCAAAAAAAGTAGTATTCTAACCACGAAAAGTGAGTGTTGCAAGCATCAAGATACAGCACGAGTTTTTCGAAACCGAGCCGAGGAAAAACGGGTCGGTTGGTACGGTACACGCTGGAAATGGAATGCTCACGAAAGGAAGAGGGGTTTCAAGGCCGGCGAGTAACAGAATTTCCAGAGTGCGGGCGGCGGCGGCGACAGTGGCGGCTTGGGTGGAGACGGAACACGCGCACCCCGCGCGATGCCTCAAATCACGTCATCCTTAGGAAGCTGGAGAAGTTGTTGTGAACCGGCCGACCATTGTTACTGTGCAAAGTGAGCGACCCATCGCTATCAACAAGGACCTAGGACGACCGAACTACTGCCGTAGGACAAAGCGTGCCCGTTGAGATTCGCTTGCCTTTCGGATGACGTGCCCAGCGTGCCTCTTCACAATCCGCGATCGCATGTTGTAGTACATGCTCTTCTTGAGGAAGACGGTGTTGGCGAAGGCCTTAGATTCCTCTGAGACCACCTCCATATCCAACGAGGTCAACTGCGAGCAGGTGTTTCCAAAACAGGGGGGCAAGTACGTCGATGTTTACCGAAAATCTAAACCCTGCGGCAGCGGTTTGTCGCGCAAGAACACGTCCAGATAGGATGGGACACACCCAACAGAGCATCGCTGGAACAATGGAGCATAATACACCGTAATACATCTGTATCGAAGCGGCTTTTGTGCCTTCGGCCGTCTGCCTTGTCCAGAGTCGCCGACTCTCTCAGTCCTATACCCATCCAGGCGAGCCACAAACTACGTACCTGCGTCAAATGGTACGCGACGTAGGTCTTGTAGTTGGACAGCCCGCACACGGGGTTGTCGCCAAAGTGGATGTCCTGGAGCGTCAAGCTCCGCAGCCCTTCGAGCGGGGCGAGCTTAAGGAGCTCCTTGAAACATCCCAGCTGGTTGTGGGCAAGGTTGACCTCTCGCAGGGTTCTGCCCAGGGGGAGGCCGTCTCCAATTTCGGTCAGCTGGTTACGGCACAGCCAGAGGTCCTCGAGAGCCCCAAGAGAGGAAAACCCGTCCATCTGTGCGTGCGTTTTGGAGTTTGTAAAATGAGGTTGGTGTTGAACAACGGGGAGACACGAACGGGAGTAACTGTTGGTCACCTGGATGGTTGTTGATAACCTGACAAGAATCACAACACCCGACAACTTCAAGATTGCCGGTCCACTCTCACATTCGACGGCCCTCCAGGCAGACGTGACGTAGGTCCGCACGCTTGCCACTGGTTACACCGAGGCTAAACCGATCAAATATTAATCTGCTACCGCATGCCGCACAGTGATTTGGTACCGAATGCCACATAATAAAACGCCCAAGCAATATTTCCGTGCGTCCTGTTCAGACTCGCATCGCCGGTGGCGCAGATTAACCCTTGATCATGAATCTATCCCGTGGGCGTTCGCTCACCGACTTTATGCGGTTATCGTTAGCCCACAGCTTCTTCAGCCTTGTCATCCCTCCTACCCCATCCAAAGACTGCAGGTGGTTGCTCGACAGGTGCAAGGCCGTTAGGCCTGTCAGACCCTCCAGCCCTTTCGTAGTCTCTAGGCCGCACTCGGTGATGTTGAGGCTTTCTAGACCTGCAACAAATTCGCGAACATTGAAGGCTCAGCAATTGTTAGCACACGACAAACGCACAACTGTCAGTGCAGTGTGCGGACCCTACTCGTCACTGTCGTCAAAAGGACTTTGTCAATTTCCAGCGAGGGCACTGGCACGTGTGTCGATGCCACGCCCATGGACAGGGAATCTATTATGAACTCAATATTTGCCTCCGAGTTGTGATCTGCTGCTACCCTTGCGATTGTAGCCACGCTCTGTCAAGAAATGGTACTGACCAGGGCAGCACGCGTCCAGCCCTGACACAGAGGTGAGGTTAGGTACATTGATGAAGCAGATCGCTGTCAGGCCTCCGAAGTAGCTGAGGCAGCCCAACTCCCTCAGGCCGCTCATGAACAGGTCCAAGGACCGCAGCAGGTGACTCTCCCGGACAAACGCATTCTCGTTGAGGCCGTTGGCCTCGCATATCTCGCGTACTCCGGCGTCCTCGCTGTTGTGTTGCGGAAAGGGAACAACAACAACGCCGTCGGTCGGTAGGGAGGGGGTGTTGAGGCGGAAGGTGGGAGTATTTTTCCTTCAACAGAAGGTCTACTGCTGTACGTGTTGGCATCATCACCTGTAGCATCACAGCAAGTACTGTGGCCAAGGATGGACCGGGGCAACAAGTTCACTCCTCCTTTGTTGCAGCAGGCTATTGCAGATTGCGGCCGCAACGCGTACGCTGGACACCTGGTCGTCGAAGAGGGAAAACCATGCCTCGTCCGACAACCGCGTGTGACTTACGCTGTTCTTTCTGTGCGCTCGTTGCTTGTAGGTTTGCGCTTCCGTGGCATACAAGCCACACTTCTCCAACACCTCGCATAAGCATGCCTTCGCTCTTACCGAAATGCTCTCAGACGAAGGGCCATCGATAGCTCCATGTCTCCATCTGTACCCTTCTCGAGTTCGCCGACAAAGGTCGCCCTACAAAACGGAGCAGCGCAGCAGCTGTGGGCGTTCTGTACATCCCGGTTGGAGTTGTCACAGTGGAACCTTTTATCATCGGGGCTCCATTGCTTTTGCATGGATCCGTGGCGGAGCACATGTGGAACTATCAGTTGCTTTGATTGAACTGATTTACCAAGCGCGAAGAGAGAGTACACTGATGACTCGCCGGGTCCCTGTTGGATCGTATACCGTGGTGTGTGTATGTTGTGGGTGCTTTGATCTGCACCAACAGGTCGGTTACAAGTAACTGCATCACCCACACGGAGCCCGTACAGTAATCGTACACACGGTTCAGAAAGAGAAATGCATTACTCCTCTTATTTGCCATATCCGCTAATCGTGTTCACTGAGCAGTAGCAGCAGCAGGCGTACATTCTGCTGCTGAATATTTTGCTCATACCGCACACAGGGCACAGCGGGCTAGGGGGGCGTACGCAGAGCGGCTATTTTGCGTGAAGGGGAGTTCGGTACATGTCAAGTGTCGGACAGCACACGGAAATTACAAAGCGATTTCGACTGCTGGCGGTAGGCTTGGAAGGCTCAACCTTCTACCCCCGGAATGTGCGTTGAAGTACACGACGCCGGGGCGCGGGCAGAGACGGAGAGGATGCCAGCAGACAGACACGAAGTACGTGCACCCCCCGATGCCAAAACACGTGCATGCATGCGCCAACAACGTTGCTTCATCAACCCAAAAAGGGCGAGTCCCCACCAAACGACCCCTTCTCAATCGAGTAATTATCCACTGCTATAGCACCTGTATCGTACACAACAAACCGCAAGCGAGTGTCAACGGCAGAGTCTCCTCTTCTTGGGGCATAGACTACAGCAGTAAAATACCTGTTTGCATCTCCTGTTGGTACGCAGAGTTCGGTTCACAGCTGCAGCAGTAGACTACAACGCGGACTGCGGTAGCTCAGAACCTGAGTACCTGACACCTGCAGGAATGTCAGCGATACCCCTGTCAACCGCATCCAATATACGCATGCACAGCAGTAGCAATACTGTTGACCTCTGATGGTGGACAGAATGGTACCACGCACAGCAGCAGTCCGCAGCAGTCCATCATCACAACAGCTTACCCTGAGCTATGCATAGATCGTCTAGTTTTCGTCATCCCACGCACAGCGCTGAACCGTGGAGCTATCCCAACAGAGCTTCATTGCACTCGAGTAAACCGAGTGGAGACGCGGCGCGCGAAGGCACTCTAGAATAACTCTCGAGCGACGCAACTTGGGTATCGTGTGCGGTGCAATACCGCACGGTTCGTGAGAAACATTCTGAAACGGCCTACAGCAGTACAGGTTTTGTTGTTTTCTGCACTTTAAACTCGTGTCAGTTGCTAATCCCGAAAAGACTCCACCACATCCCGTTCGACTGTGGGTATATCTCGAATGGGTAGTCTTTCTGTGCGCGTATTTATTTCTCCTTAATCCCAAAATCTAGCAAAGGCTCGGTCCGTGGTCACAAAAAAAAAAAATGCTAGAGCCATTACAAGATCCGAAGAACACGCACACTTTGTATCGATGCGAAAAACGAGACCAATTTTGCAATTTCTGTGTGTGTGTGATGGATGACAACTCACTTGTGGATGATAAGGAAGAGACGAAGAGACGAAAGCACCCCCCCCCCCCCGCGCGCTGCGCGGAACATGCACACAAATGTATGTCCATAGCAAACATCACAGTGCAACTTCACACACACATTGACAACACTAGTCTAGACTGTACAGCTTCTTCTGCTCCTGACTTGTTCGAGGGTCGTTCACACCCTGTCTTTCTCACGGTATTCGGATACCCCGTTGATGACAGTCGCTAGCGACTTTGGATCATGGCGTGCAGAGGACTCGTTCGAGACGCCAAGCGTTCCTGCAGTCGCGAGAGAAGCACGCATCAACCCGAGGTAACACAAGACCGTATCGAACATGAGACCGCCTCGGTGCACTGCTGCTGCTGTATGTAGTCCACGTGGTCCCCACCATACGTGTAGGTACCACCAGGGAAAGAGCGGATGATGGAGTAGAATCTAGCTGCCACCCAGAGTAAAAAGTACCAAAATAAGAGGTACTTCTGTGTTAGTGTAGCGTGTGCACGCGCACTACAAAAGTCACCGCTTGAGTGCGCGGTCAACTCTTGAAGAGATGACCGGTCTCGACGTGTCGACGTGGTTCGGCTGGCGTACTTGGACATTTTAATTCCACACTGACTGACCGTGTTTTTGCTTCTTGCGTAGTCTAATTACACTTCAAACCAAACACTTTCGAGAACGCTAAAAAGTTGACTGCATTAACATCATTCTTGAACTCGCTCGAGGTGCAGACGTAGAATATGTAGTTGAAAAACAGCCGTACATAGTTTGAAGACCCTCTTGTTAGACATCCATAGTAGTGCAGGAGAATGGGGTATCGTACACGGTAGATGTCGGGTATGAGAGCCGCATATCGTGCGCCGTGCGTTCTCGTTTGGCTATCTATATGAAAACGCGCGCTTCATGCTGCTTCAAGCTATTCTTCATGCCATCGCCTTCACGTGTTGCTCAATGCCATTTTCTTGACGCCCGCACTACTATTTACAGAGATCAAGCACCACATGCACAGCGAAGGTCATCAGCCAGTCACCGCCGGCCCGCATCGTCGACCGTGCGTGTGCCATACCTTCCCTCGCATGTCAAGATTCATCAGTTAAGGCAAGATCACCGGCAGCAAGTATGGCCGTAACGTCCACGATGAAAGCACGCGTGTCGTCATATTGCTAACTCCCGTTCTAGCCTACTCGGCCCTGCGTGCGACGCGCACGTATATCCACACGAGACGGCAGAGCCTTCTCCATAAACCCGACCAATAGGTCTCAAGTGCGATGACAACCGTTGCAGCGGGTGAAGAACATAACTTCTAATGTACCGTTGTACCGTCCATGGTTTTGCATGAACCAGTTAGACCCAGCACCAATGTTGGCCATTTCACGTTGCATGCTGCCACGCACGCGTGGAAACCTCACGCAGTGCTGCAGCTCACACCCAACACCCAAGACCACAGTCCAGCGCCGACGCATGTCATGAACACAACCATACTTGTAGTGTACCACAGCTATATATTACAGTACTTCATCTTCTCTGACCACCTGCCTTCCCGCATGTGACCACGAAAAAACGACAATGCTAGGCCGAAACGCCGACCTAGTAGCGCGGCGGCGTCCTACATGCGGTCTACCTTTGCGATCAATAGCGCGCTACCCCTACGGGAACAGCAGCAGCTGCTGGAACAGCAGCAGCTGCGGCAGCAGCACAGGCGGCGGGGTTTGTGGCAGCAGCCGGAACAGCGGCGTCCCGAGGAAGCAAAGTACGTGTTGCAAGCGGGCCCGATTCAGGGTAGCGGCAGTTACAGCCGAGGTGTCTCGACGGTAGCGCGCCACCGGCAAGCTTTCGGGGTGAGGACGACGACGACGACAGTCGCGGCGGCGGCGGGGGTGGCGGGAAAAAAATGCACCGGCGGCCGGAGTGGTTGGACGGGGGGGTCGAATCAAGGAAGCAATCAACCGGACCGGTGAGAAAATGTGAACAAGACAAGAATGAAAGGAGGCAAACGGACCGCGGGGCTTTGACCCGATGTTCCTACGAACCGCGTCTATGTGTAGAGGGCGTGTGTCATGTCCAGGTTGAAGATTTTTCAACGGACGGTCCAGTCTCATTGACACTTTTTCGGGAGAACCTTTGTTGTGTGGTAAAGCACGACTGCTTCGAGCCAGAACCTCGGGGTTGCGTGGCTGTATTCAAGATCACAACCTCTCCATTGTTTTTCGCCGCAAGCAACGTAGTACCTCCTCCAGTTCACCGGTCCCCTCAACCACTAACTACTACTACACACACGCGCACGCAGGTACACCTTGGCAAACCTCCACACTCGATTGAAAAACCCTCTGCTTCTGACGTGCCCGGCTGCCCCCTCAAAGGCCTCCCACCACACGCCCTGCAAGCGCACCGATGAGGTTCTTCGGCCGCCCCCCCCTATCATCTTCCCCCGGGTACGAACGGGAAGAAACCAGTTTCGGATCAAGGGGCGGGGTACTTCGGGGTGCCTGTCCCCCGCACCGACAAGCTACGCGGCGGCCGCGATCAGCCCTGACAAGAAGAAATCCCACGAGTGGAAACCGCAGACGCGGTGCTCGCTCCCCAAGTGGCGCGCGAGAAGACCAGAAGAGGAGGGGTTCGCCTCTGCCTCCCGCTGCGTGGGGATTTCGAAACGCCACGGCCTCCTCCGCCACCGCTGCCCCTGCCGTTAAGGCTGCGGCGGCGAGCGGGGGCGTCGAACAGGTCGAGCGGAGCTACCAAGAGGTCGTCGTTTGCAGGAGCAGGCAAAGGGTAATCAAGGGTTCGGCGGCGCGGCGTCAGAAGGCCGAAGGACCCATCAGCGGTCGAGTCAGCGGCGCAGGCAACGGCGGGCGACGAGACAAGTGGGTGGGACTTCTCGAGGGGTCAAGCGAGGCGCTCTGGACGTGCGGCAGGGGAGGGGGTGGTGGAGAGAACGACGACGACGATACTGACGACGACGCTCGCTTCCTCGACCTCGCAATCAACCCATCCCCCTGGGGGGCGTTTGTGGGAGGGCCGCCCGGGATAGAGAAGACTTCGGCTGCTAGAGGCGGCAGCGGCGGCAGCGTGCAGAGGCAGCTTTGCAAGAAGAGGCCGAGCAGCGCACCGCGCCAGGCTCCAACGGCTACGGCCCCAACGACGGGACGGTCCGAGGAAGGCGGCGGCCGCACTAGGACTCGGCCGAGATCGGCACACGCGGCATCGCCCTCGCGACAGAACGCCGCCGGAAATTTTGTCAGCGCAGCCTACGGCGGCGGCGGCAGAGAAAACGAAGAAAATTGCATTTCATTGGAAGAAACACCACATGAGGAGACGGAAAAGTCAAAATCGGCGCGGCGGGGATCGCGTGATGGGTTGTCAGTGACGGCGGGCGTAGATGGAACAGCAGGGCGAACGGCGCAAGGAACTGGCGGGGAAGCTGTGCCGACGCAGGGGAGCAAGGCGATTATTGCTGGCGGCGGAGGCGGCGGCGGCTGCCACCCGGGAGGTGTTGTTCAGGATGCCGAGCTTGTTGTGGTTGCACGACAGCTGCAGCCGAGGACCGCGTTTTCTCCAGCAAATAAGGTGTGATAGATGCGGCTTAAACCCTTCGTATGCGTTACGCTGCACTGCTTACGATGCTTTGAACCAGGTCGCCGAAAATTCTGGCTCCATCTCTGGTTTTGGAAGCAGAATTACATAGTGTAGTACGGCATGGATGGCCATGATTAACCCCCCCCGCCCCCACACAGACACACCACACGCCACGTACTTTGCTTGCCCATCCCCGTCGCTAGCCCAGTACAGAAACCTTGGTAAACGATCAGAACACCTCATCAACTACCATATCCACTGCTCATCTTCTCTCTTTCTTTCTCTCCCTCCCCGCCTGCCCCCCTCCATTAATTTTTCTCAAGGGAAGCCACCACAATAGCAGCGTGGAAAAGATGGCTGGCGAAACGCCCGCTCCCGCCTTTTCATCTCGCACCATCGCCAGTGGAATGTTCTTCAACACCCAACCGCCGCCTTCGTTCGCGCGACCAATGATGCCGCGGACGCCGGCGCCATCACCGCCACCACCGTTGTCCCCGCCTGCTCCCCCCTCGCCGCCGAACAAAATCGGCCACACCCTCGGCTTAACCGGGTCCGCCATTGTCCCGGGGGTGGCGGCTGCGCCGGCAGCGGCGGGTGGGACAGAACCCCGCCCCCGTCACGGGACCACTACGCGGAGAGTCTTTCAGCATCGGCAGCAACAGCAGCCGCAGCAGCAGCAGACAGCAACGACGGTAGCAGGGTGGGTGAAGGAAGCCGGTGGTAGGTGGAGGAACGGCGAGAACGGCAGTGGTAACGCCACCGCCACCGGACGATACGGCTTTTCGACCACAGCTCCGTCGGTGGTGCCGGACTCGAGGACGGCCAAGAACGTACATGGAGGCAGCGGCCGCCGTCGCGCGAGGGCTTCAGGGCTGGTGGGAAAAGCGCTGCGAGTCCGGAGACCAACACAAATAGTTCTGGGCCGCTAGCAGCATCAGACGCAAATTCGAGAAACGAGCAATGACGACCACGAGCGGGTAGTTTGTTTGCCTCTGTCAGCAAAAAAAGGGAAAAATAAGCTGTCCTTGTAGTCACAGTCCGGAAAGCTCCGGGTATGGTACGGCAATCCTTCGACTGAATCGATTGCTGGGGCGTTCGAATTGTCATCCCACGTGCTGAGTGATTTTGTTTCATGAGCACCTTCGGCGGCCGAGCTGCATAATCGATATTGATTCCTCGGACTCGGGAGGGCAAGAGGAGTTGGCACAACGGTTTGCACACAGCATGTACCAACTACTTTGACAGGCATCGACGACAATAATCGACCAAAAAAAAAGCTGTTTCCACCAAGATGCCACTTGCAAGAAGACTTCCTCAGTCACTTCATGACGGCATAAACATGTATACTTCCGAAAAAGCCGAGGTGACGAAGAGTATGGATTCCCTAACACGATAGAATCCGAACACAACACAGCTGCACGCGAGATGTACGTACGTGTGTTACGTGTAAGGAATGGTACCGACAACCACGGGCCTGCTTGCTTGACTCACACACGAGCCCAGGGGCAGGACAAAGGATCAGTCGTGGAAGCGCCTACACTCTCTTCTTTCAATCATCAAAAAGTCATTGAAACTTTGATACTTTATTCAAGCGTGTGGTGGGTAAACAGTAGTAGAGATATATAAATATATATATATGCCGTTTGGTCGCTGATACAAACGACAGGTATCGAGCGGTGACCAGGCGTATAGGCTTTGCTCTCTTAAATCTGGAACATATACACGGAACCATGGTATACGACGACTAAACCCAAGGTACCCAACCCACCTCTCCGCCCGCCACTGTTGCTCCGACCGGAAATCGAATATGACTACGTGGGAAAAAATGAAAAATTACGTACGTACTCCAAACGACTACAATACACAACAACCACACATGTATATACGGACCGAATCAAGACGCCCACCCCCACTCTTCCACTCCTCCACGCTCGTTCGCCCATCGCGTGCCCACTACAGCAGCGTTGCATGCGAACCTTCCGCCTCACCAATGGCACAACTTCTCAAAAACTGCAACTTTTTTTTCCGTCCGTCCCTCTTGTATCTTGCGCCACATACTATTCATCTTCTTCTGGATTAACAGCCCGTTACCTAAAAACCAAGGCGCAAAAAAAAAGATAACTCAAAATCCACACACACACACACACACACACGTCCCACACCTACACTTGTCTTTGGTCCCGGCAACGAAGCTTAACATGGAAACAAATATACACAGAACACCCCGCGCGGTCCGTCCGTCTACACATGATGGCATAGGAAAATACGCTCGGAACGGCGGCGCACTGCTCTGTGGTGGCATGTTCTTCACGATGACAGCGTTCCTGTGCTCGTCGACTGTGCTCGTGGGCCTACGCGGGGTGGTTTGTTGGTGGTTGGGACGTCACACATCTCCCGCAGATCCAAATAAGTATTAGTCTGACGGTAGATGCTCGCATCGCCCCGCCTCCCTTACATCACTCCCCTTCTCCACACACCCCGCCGCTGGACGCTGAATCCCCAAATCCGACCAAGCCCTGTCGTGGACGAAGATGCCTCGGCGGCACTTAGAAAGAAGATCACACACAGAAACACAAGACTCACATTGCACAAGAAACACGTGATGGCGCTCGACTTTCGGACTGCGGTGCGTGTGTGTGTAAACGTGGTTGTTGGAAAAGCAAGTGGTAGCCGCTCTCTACCTTGCTCGAACGGAATCGAGCGATCCCCCCCCCTCCCATTCAGAAAGAATCGATTGACCCAGCTGACGACAAAAACACTTGAACGAAAACAAACCCGACTCAAATGAGGACGAAACCAACCGATCACGAAAAAGAACTAAACAAGAAAAAAATATCTAGACCCACCCAACGTCATTCCTCCCCCCCCCCCCCCNGCTTGGTGGTGTGCATATACACCCAAAACCTGGTATGTCATGCTTGGGCACGCCCTCGAATCAAGAAATACTATCTAATGCGGGAGAAGCAGGGCAACGGAAACCTGGCCACTAAAACACGCATTCTGACTTTGATAGACCAAAAACAAACGAGCTTTATTCTTGGTAGCTTTTCAACCCCCGCGAGACTAAAAATCGAGTGCGACCCCCACCGTTTCGCTTCACTCCGCAGGCCTTTTGGCCCCCTCGGGCAGTTGTAAGTGAGAGACCGACACTCGGTATCATCCGATAGGCACAAGCGAAAAGCACTGCTGGTTAACACGGGCAAGAGAACGGCGAAAAAAAAAAACACAAGTACCAAATGCTGCCGTCGTGCTGTCCAGCAGTGCCCCACCATAAAATCAAAACAAACGAATGTAAACAAAATTGAAAGCACCAACGCGTAGGTCGTAGTTGACCACCTTACGCGCCGGGCATATTTTTGTCTGCAGCGCATCAAAAACAATCGACGTCGGGTGAATCTCCCGCCCCCCCGTCTCTGGAAGTGAAAGCACCAGAAAATAAATCAAGTCATACGCAGCTGTCATCCATATGCAAGGAAGTAAGCACAAGATGCCGAACATCCTTAGCAGGATGCAGCCACCCTTCATGCGACTCGCCGAATACCTCACGGCGCTTCGCGCTTGGTGATGTGAGAGCCTGGCCCGGTGAGAACTCGGCGTGCTCCGTCCCGGCTTTGTAGGGATGCGAGGTCAATGGTCTAACGACTACGGCATGCACGACTATGAGTATACCCCCCACCTAGTCCACCTCGTCCATGACACACCAAGGGAAGNTTCCTCCGTTGCCTGTATAGCACTACATGAAAAAAAAGGAACGGCAAAACTGGTGCATAGGGCAAAAGATTGGACACGACAGGCAACATTTGAGGATTTGTGACCCCCGCCTTGGTATGACATGTGCTTCCCGCATGACCCCCCCTTGCCACAGCAGGACAAGCTTGGGCGTACATTCACGTTGGTCAAAAAAGAAAACAAAGATAGCACGCGAATGATCTGCCGTCGGACCGGGAAAAACGCCAACAGACAGGCACACAGGCACCACGGTGCAACAAGTATCAGAACAGACATGGTTAAGAAACCATGAAAGTCGACGACAATTTGTCGTACGCAAGTGTGAGCCCAGAATGCCACCCGCCAACATGAAAACCTCTTCAGTCACATTTTTGAGCGAGACTAGCGGGAAGCCGTGGGAGGCGTCCCCTCCTCCCGCCTCGCACATGGAAAAAACTGCTGTGTGACTACTGTGGCTCTTGCCTGACCCAGTCAAGGTGTGTTCCCACTACAGTACGCTGTCCAACACAGAGACCTATTGCAAAAAGGCCGTGTGGCGCAAGAAGCATGCGCCGGGTGATTAGTACCCCCCGTTGTGGTCGTGAAGGGCAAATAGAACGAGATCGTCGACCAAAAGACGCGCTTGCCGAGAGGACCACAAAAGGCACCCCCATCTTCCCCCCCCCCAACGCCATGTCCAGCTGTAGACACACACCTACGCGTTCTATCCGTAACCCCCCGAAGAAAAAACAATTTTATCCCCTGGCGAACGCCCTTCATTTTCGACAAACACACAGGCGGACGAGCGTGCGAGGTTACATTGAACGAAGAATCCCCCCCCCCCCCC